TTAGTGTATACTCCATCAGCTGTTTTCGTTTCTGTCAGCTTTGTGTTTTTGACTGTTTGACTTCATCTAGTGTCTGAATAATGTGCAGGTTAGTGTATACTCCATCAGCTGTTTTCGTTTCTGTTGTGTTTTTGACTGTTTGACTTCATCTTGTGACTGAATAATGTGCAGGTTAGTGTATACTTCATCAGCTGTTTTCGTTTCTGTTGTGTTTTTGACTGTTTGACTTCATCTTGTGTCTGAATAATGTGCAGGTTAGTGTATACTCCATCAGCTGTTTTCGTTTCTGTTGTGTTTTTGACTGTTTGACTTCATCTAGTGTCTGAATAATGTGCAGGTTAGTGTATACTCCATCAGCTGTTTTCGTTTCTGTCAGCTTTGTGTTTTTGACTGTTTGACTTCATCTAGTGTCTGAATAATGTGCAGGTTAGTGTATACTCCATCAGCTGTTTTCGTTTCTGTTGTGTTTTTGACTGTTTGACTTCATCTAGTGTCTGAATAATGCGCAGGTTAGTGTTTACTCCATCAGCTGTTTTCGTTTCTGTTGTGTTTTTGACTGTTTGACTTCATCTTGTGTCTGAATAATGCGCAGGTTAGTGTATACTCCATCAGCTGTTTTCGTTTCTGTTGTGTTTTTGACTGTTTGACTTCATCTAGTGTCTGAATAATGTGCAGGTTAGTGTATACTCCATCAGCTGTTTTCGTTTCTGTCAGCTTTGTGTTTTTGACTGTTTGACTTCATCTAGTGTCTGAATAATGTGCAGGTTAGTGTGTACTCCATCAGCTGTTTTCGTTTCTGTTGTGTTTTTGACTGTTTGACTTCATCTTGTGACTGAATAATGTGCAGGTTAGTGTATACTCCATCAGCTGTTTTCGTTTCTGTTGTGTTTTTGACTGTTTGACTTCATCTAGTGTCTGAATAATGTGCAGGTTAGTGTGTACTCCATCAGCTGTTTTAGTTTCTGTTGTGTTTTTGACTGTTTGACTTCATCTAGTGTCTGAATAATGTGCAGGTTAGTGTATACTCCATCAGCTGTTTTCGTTTCTGTTGTGTTTTTGACTGTTTGACTTCATCTAGTGTCTGAATAATGTGCAGGTTAGTGTGTACTCCATCAGCTGTTTTCGTTTCTGTTGTGTTTTTGACTGTTTGACTTCATCTAGTGTCTGAATAATGTGCAGGTTAGTGTATACTCCATCAGCTGTTTTCGTTTCTGTTGTGTTTTTGACTGTTTGACTTCATCTAGTGTCTGAATAATGCGCAGGTTAGCGTGTACTCCATCAGCTGTTTTCGTTTCTGTTGTGTTTTTGACTGTTTGACTTCATCTTGTGACTGAATAATGTGCAGGTTAGTGTATACTCCATCAGCTGTTTTCGTTTCTGTTGTGTTTTTGACTGTTTGACTTCATCTAGTGTCTGAATAATGTGCAGGTTAGTGTATACTCCATCAGCTGTTTTCGTTTCTGTTGTGTTTTTGACTGTTTGACTTCATCTAGTGTCTGAATAATGCGCAGGTTAGTGTGTACTCCATCAGCTGTTTTCGTTTCTGTTGTGTTTTTGACTGTTTGACTTCATCTTGTGACTGAATAATGTGCAGGTTAGTGTATACTCCATCAGCTGTTTTCGTTTCTGTTGTGTTTTTGACTGTTTGACTTCATCTTGTGACTGAATAATGTGCAGGTTAGTGTATACTCCATCAGCTGTTTTCGTTTCTGTTGTGTTTTTGACTGTTTGACTTCATCTAGTGTCTGAATAATGTGCAGGTTAGTGTGTACTCCATCAGCTGTTTTAGTTTCTGTTGTGTTTTTGACTGTTTGACTTCATCTAGTGTCTGAATAATGTGCAGGTTAGTGTATACTCCATCAGCTGTTTTCGTTTCTGTTGTGTTTTTGACTGTTTGACTTCATCTTGTGACTGAATAATGTGCAGGTTAGTGTATACTCCATCAGCTGTTTTCGTTTCTGTCAGCTTTGTGTTTTTGACTGTTTGACTTCATCTAGTGTCTGAATAATGTGCAGGTTAGTGTGTACTCCATCAGCTGTTTTCGTTTCTGTTGTGTTTTTGACTGTTTGACTTCATCTTGTGACTGAATAATGTGCAGGTTAGTGTATACTCCATCAGCTGTTTTCGTTTCTGTTGTGTTTTTGACTGTTTGACTTCATCTAGTGTCTGAATAATGTGCAGGTTAGTGTGTACTCCATCAGCTGTTTTAGTTTCTGTTGTGTTTTTGACTGTTTGACTTCATCTAGTGTCTGAATAATGTGCAGGTTAGTGTATACTCCATCAGCTGTTTTCGTTTCTGTTGTGTTTTTGACTGTTTGACTTCATCTTGTGTCTGAATAATGTGCAGGTTAGTGTATACTCCATCAGCTGTTTTCGTTTCTGTCAGCTTTGTGTTTTTGACTGTTTGACTTCATCTTGTGTCTGAATAATGTGCAGGTTAGTGTTTACTCCATCAGCTGTTTTCGTTTCTGTTGTGTGTTTGACTGTTTGACGCCATCTTGTGTCTGAATAATGTGCAGGTTAGTGTATACTCCATCAGCTGTTTTCGTTTCTGTTGTGTTTTTGACTGTTTGACTTCATCTTGTGTCTGAATAATGTGCAGGTTAGTGTATACGCCATCAGCTGTTTTCGTTTCTGTTGTGTTTTTGACTGTTTGACTTCATCTTGTGTCTGAATAATGTGCAGGTTAGTGAATACTCTATCAGCTGTTTTAGTTTCTGTTGTGTTTTTGACTGTTTGGTGCCATGTAGTGTCTGAAAAATGTGCAGGTTAGTGCATACTCTATTAGCTGTTTTAATTTCTGTTAGCTTTGTGTTTTTGACTGTTTGACGCCATCTAGTGTCTGAATAGTGCACAGGTTAGTGTATACGCCATCAGCTGTTTTCGTTTCTGTTGTGTTTTAAACTGTTTGACACCATCTTGTGACTGAATAATGTGCAGGTTAATGTATACTCCATCAGCTGTTTTAGTTTCTGTTGTGTTTTTGACTGTTTGGCGCCATCTTGTGTCTAAAAAATGCGCAGGTTAGTGTATACTCCATCAGCTGATTTCGTTTCTGTCAGCTTTGCGTTTTTGACTGTTTGGCGCCATCTAGTCATCTGATTGAAGGGCTAATTTCTAAGCTTATAAATGAGCACATAATAACATTTCTGTCGATTTTTTTTTTTTTTTTTACTTTTCTAAGCCACATACCTACTATGTTGATATCAGCAAGCATTTGAACATATTGAATTAATGGAGTATATGGCACTTTTAACTCAGATTACCTCAGCAAACGCATGTAAACACAGTTTCTGTGTTCATCATCAGTGCCTGCCACTGACTTCCTGTCTGATTTCCTGTGCATTGAGAAGAGGAAGTGTCTGGCGAGTGTGTTTGTTTGTATTTGTAAGCAGGAGAAATGATGGAGTCGGATGATGAAGACTCGCTGGATGACACACGGTAGGAAGTTGCAAAGAAAACCAAAACAAACCAGAGCAGAGAGACAATAGATATTGGTTTATACAAATATAATGGTTTTCTGATTCGTATTAGCTTTGAAATACTGGACTGAAGCAGTTTCCGTTTACTGGAATTGCATCTATGCTTTGATACAATCTACATTGTAGTGTAGAAATAATGATGAATTATCAATACAGGATGTTTTATTTATGCAAGAATACAGTAGCTGAACTCTGTGTGCAGGTCTATAGACGATGTTTTAGTTTAGCATGCTAGTAAATATAGCTTTAATCTGGTCAGGTGTGCATTTACTTATGTATTGTTTTATTTTATATATTTTTATTTTATATATTTTATTTGTTATTTGTTATATATATATATATATATATATATATATATATATATATATATATATATATATATATATATATATATATATATATATTCTATCTTGCATATGTCATTGGATTATTTTCCTGTTTAATTTTTATTATTAAGCTGTAATTTATTTATGATTTAATTCAAATAATTTAATTAGTCTTTACGTATTTTT